TTAGCCTTTGACATAGAAAGTGATTTCAATAAATTGCTATATTATTAGGTCCAGGAATTTTAAAGACTAAATTAAATTTACTTGGAAGTATACAAAAGATTCTTGTAGTATGCTTTGTATCATTAAATATGGTACTGTTAAAAATCTGTTAGTTATACAACAAATAATTTTGAAAAAAAAAAGTAGGACAAAATGGGGCAAAAAATTAAAATTGAGTGGAAACAAATCTGTTTATACAGCATGTCTCTTAAAATACAAGTTTTGGTTTTTTTAAATATTGTTCAAGTATTTATACACTCGTAAATTGTTTTTCATGCTTAAAAAATAAAAATGTGGTTAGGTAAATGCTAATGTGTGGTATTTTATGGGTGTAATTTTGTAGTTTTATTTTTACGCAAATTTATTTTGCTCTATTATCATGCTCCGATGACTGATAGCAAATTTATTTTTACAATTTTTTTTACTTGCATACTTATAACTTATGGAAGTAATGAATCATTATAAAACAAGCATACTGACAAAACTGCTTGATTGGTATATGATTTGTAAAAATCTAAGAATTTTAAAACGTTTGATATCTTGCTTTGTCTTCCCCTATCTATAAAAATTATGGATATTCTTTTAATTTTATGGGCTTGGTGAGACGGCCATTGAAGGTGCATAAATATTTTGTAATCTATTCAAATTTCAAGATAGCGCCACATTTTAATATTTAATATATAAAGAAAAGCGCATCAACTTTTATATAAACATAAAACGTTTGTCTAAAGATGATAATATCATTAAATAAATAATCTTATCTCTAGTATACAACTTAACCCTATTTATACTGGTTCATGGAGGTTAAAATTATACTAGCATGCCCAAAAATAGATTCTATTCCAATAAATCCATCATTAAATTCAAGAATGAATGAAAATACAGTTAATTCTAATACTTTTTTTGACACAAATACACTTTTAATGTACATTTTCCAAATAACACTATTAAATTCTAAATAACATTATTCAATTGTAAAAACTGCAAATAAACAACTCTTATTTTACATGATAAAAATTGTTGTTTTAAAATATGGATCTTAAATAAATTTTAAATTTTTTCTTAAACTTAAGATGGTCCTCCTCAGAAAAGGCTAACTTTGTTAGAAAAATGTTTTTAATTTAAATTTTTCATTAAAAATGTGGTTCTATAAAATATTTACAAAAATCAACTAAAAAAAAAAAGCCTCGATTACCCAGTTATTTAAAAATTTATAAAAAACTAGCAATTTTTGTGAGAAGCTAGCAATCAAAATATTTATCATATCAAGCTGAAAATTGGTGTATATACTAAAGAGGTATATTATTCCAAATAAGTAAAGCATTTTTTATTATTTTAGTATATAAAAGGTTCCAACATTTGAAACAAATGATGTCCAACAATTTTTCTCATAAAAAAGTCTCATAAAAAAGTACTTTCCTTATTTTGTTTTAAATATCCTTTTCTCATCCGGATCCTTTTTAATTATGTGAAAAATAAAAAATAAAAATTAGATCAAAAATTTAAATGAGTTTTAAGTTATCATGATTTAAAGATTTGAATTCGAGGCAAATTCATAAAAAGTTCATAAATAATAAAAAGAAACATATTAAAACCCTCCGGGAATTTATTGTGAGTTTTTTATTTATCATCTTTGTCTAAGCCTTTTTAATTGCTCTTAGTTATTTTTTTCTCATTTTGACAGTGGACTTTTAAAGAGACCGTTTTATAGCTTCTTTATTCTTTTCATTAAGTTTCTTAGATGTAAAATATCCTGTTAGCTTAAATTTATTTAGTACAAATAGGATTCCATTAGGACCTTTATTAAATTCAATAACAGATAATTTAACTGCTGACTCTAAGACCCCTCTACCCAATATATTGCTGATATTGATTGCTGATTGCTAATATTTTTCGGGCAGCATCTCCAAATAATCTGGTTGAGTGTCTTGTTGGCATTTTAGTAAATCATAAGATAAACCAGTAAAAGTTGGTTTCAAAATGTTGAAGGCTGAAACAGAAATATTTACTTGCTCTACATAAGTATTTTCACCATGTCTAAATAATATTTGCACTGAGTCTCAGTTTCTCTTGGGCACATACGGTATCGACATTCCTTGTCGTCAAAATCTGCACAATGAAACAAAACCGCCTAAACAGCTTTTTTCATAGCATACAAATTGTTAAAATGTTTCTTATTGCTAGGCTATAGTTATAATCAATAAAATTGCTGTAAAGTAAAATTTTCAAAAATTTGTGCTTCAAAAAAAGGGTGTCGCCGACGAGACTACATTAAAATGGTAATTTTCCTATGCATTTAAAGCATCTATACAAAAACTATAATTCTAAAACTTACGATCAATTAACTTAAATAAGATACATACTTAATGATATTAATCATGATTTTTTTGTAAATTGTTATATATATATAATTTTTTTATAAAAAATAATAAAACAGTGATCAAAACCCACTACTTTACTAAATAGGATAATGTCAGTCTCTATGGTTAAGGCTATGAACTTAATTAATAAAACACTTTTGAACTTTTAAAAAATAACTGTGCTTTTATAAAAATCTGTGAAAATGAAATCCAATTAGGATTTTAATAACCCAGCAATTATTTTATAGAGGATTTGCAGTGAACCTATATAAGCATTTTGAGTGGTTTATTGGAGTTTTGCTCATAGGTTACTTATGGGATTCGCTAAAAGTGGCTAGCCAATAACTCTTCAACATGTAATATAAAAGTTAGTTGTTGGCTAGCCAATATGACGGCTGCCATTAACCAATGAGGCTTTTTACAGTGAAAAAACAGTGAGAAACTCTCAAAACGTCTATTAAAATTCCGCTGTAAAATGTTTGATGGGAAGGTTGTTTAAAACAACATAAAGTCAAAATTATCTTAAAAATACTTAAAAAATTTATTACTGAGGTTGAAAATAAAAATATCAGAGGAATGTTCTAAAGTTTTTATTCTGAAATAATCAAAGTGTTATTTGTGTATTCAAAATAAGCGCATTTGTTAACTATAAACGTTGTATTAAAAGCTTTATTTATTTATCTAAAATTTATTCTCATAAACGTTCAATATATAGTTTTATATTCTGTAATAAAAATTTCCCCTGTTTTAATTGATTGTCCGTTTCTTTACCCTAAGTCCTATAACGCGCCTCTGAGACTTTAAATAATCTCTGTTCGATTTTACAATTATTATTTGCATCAATTTTATTTTTTGGATAAAAAAGAGTAAATAAGTTGTTTTTTTCCACGTTTTTTTTTTTTTAAAAGCAAAAAAAAAATTTACAGTGATCTTAAAATATTTGACAGAATTTTATTATACTTAATAATACAACTAATTACTATAATAATTACATATAAATAAGAAAAAGTTAGGAAAAAATCTTTGCATGCAAAAAAACTCATTTCACAAAAATAGCATACCAATGGTAAAACCACAGTCTGAAAAAGAATTTTCTTCGACAACATTAAATCTTTCCAACACTATTACACCTAAGCATTCTGAATTCTAAAAAAAAAATTGTTTTCATAAATAACACTTTTAAATAGATATAGATATGCCAAGTTAAATAAAAGAAATAAAAAATATAAAGCATATTATAAAAAGAAAACTCCAAAATCATGGAGAAATAGAAGAAATTCGTTGCTCAAAAAAAGCTATATAAAGACTTCAAACAAGAAAATTGAAGACAACGAAACCTACTGCAAAAAGAACAATTGGCAGGATAGCAATATTATCAAAAAAAAAGAAAAGAAATATATACTAACAACTTTAAGTCTATTCAAACTGAGGTTTTGCACTTAAGTTGTAACTGTTGTAAGTTAAGTAACTGAGGTTTTGCACTAAATTTACTTGTATAGTAAGCAATCTGCTCCTGCGGTTAGAAAAGTACACCATACATAATTCATAAAACTTTAATATGTATAAATAAAAAAATGCTAAAAAAACAATTTTTACCATTTATTAAAAAGCATCATACTTAATATATAATTTAAAATTGAATATTTTTGCCTGATTTGGTTACAATTTATTACTCTATAAAGTCTCTAGAATGGCAAGAATAAAATAACATTAAATTGGTAACTATGGAAGCAAATCCTCTTAATTGTCTTGAGCAGCAAGTTATTGAAAGTTATGGGTCTGATGAAGGAGATTTTTGCAAAACAAAAATAACAGGTTTATGAAAAGTAACTCTCTAAGTACTTGCAAAAAAAAATTGGTTTAATCTAAACCTCCAATTAACAAAATTGAAAAAAATAAAAATTGATTGGAATAAAGAATTTAGAAAGTTTCAGTGAGTAAAAATTACAAAAATCTGTAAAGTAGTTTTCAAGTAATTACTGATTAAAAGAATGCTGAATTTGTGTTTCACCAATAAAAATAAATTTTTAATACAAAAGAAATTTTTTGTACAGAAAAGCTTAAAGAAATAGCACCTCTATAGCAAACTAACAGCAGCACTGTAGCTAACTAACAGCAACACTGTAGCAAACTAACAGCAACACTGGAGCCAACAAAACTGTACTAACACTCTTACGACTTTAGAACTTGTTAAAAAAAAGAATGATCATAACAATTTAATCTAACTAGTCAAAAGTTAATAAGTTTTTTGTTCTGCAATCTTATTTGACAAAATATTTTGGTTTTTAACAAAGAATAAATTGCATGTATTATTATATTTATAAAAAAAAAAAAAAATTTTTTGTAGTCAAATAAATATTGCAAATAATGTAGCAATATTACATTTCTGCATAAGGAAAAACCTAAGAAATATTTATCCTATATCTTATTAAGATATATAACAACAATAAAAATAAGACAAGATTTAAACTAATAATAGTTAATAGGATACTTTTTTTTTAAACATTAAAGTTAACCACTGTAAAAAAACTCTAACCTTTTCTTTATTTTTAAAATAGAATAGTAAATTTCCACGCAGCCTAACAAATCTTTCAGGGATATCTATAAATGTCAACAATATAAAATCATGAGTTATAAAAAATTTATAATTATCTAAAAACATTTTTAAATTGGTTTTATATTGTTGCACAGATGTTTATATATTGCACATATTTAAAATTTATGACTTTTAAATTAGATACTTGTGTTATACACAGACAAAATAAGTGATTTAATCAATTATTTAAAAATATGTAGAATTTAAAAAAAGGTACAAAAAAAAAATCACTTAACAAACTTCTTTTATGTACAGTCTTTATTAAATAAAAGAGAAGTGTAAAAATTTAAAATAAAATTGTACAGAAGCTTTTAAGATATTATTGGTTAAATTTTGCTGATTTAGCTTTTTTTGAAAAAAACCAATAAACTTCAACATGAAAAATTGCATTATTTCCTTAAGTACTCAATAATGGTAAGGACTTGAAAGTTATAAAAAAACGGCCAGTTTTTCACTTTTATGTAAAAGCATTGACTATAGATGCATTTTCTTTATTTTATCATCCTTTTATTGTTTGATTTTTTTTAATTTCATGACTATTTTTTTTCACATTGTTCTAGATAAAAATGTCTTCCTGTTTTTTTTATTTTTTTCAAAAGAACAAATCTGTTCAGAACAAACACCTATTTATTATTACAAGAAAATGTAAAAAGGTGCTGTCTGATGCTAAGTTCCATTATTCACAAATTACTAAATCTCGTACCTGTCCTCAGAAGTTAGGCTATAGAGACTTTTGGAAAATCTTCATTCATGGGACTGATCTTATTAACTCCCCCAAGGATAAGGCTGAACTTTTTGCAAAGAACTTTTCTTTTAATACAACCTTTAAATCTTACTCAATTCCAATTAAACAGATTAACTCATTGTTAGACATTTAAATCACTACAGCTTCTGTTGCTAAAGTCATATCTCAACTAAACTCTTCAATCTGTTAATAGCAAGGCCTTTAAGCCTTTGATCAACAGTTTTAACATACCATCTTGAGTCAAGTAACTTACTGTCAGACAAGTTTTTGATCCTCTCGGTCTACGACTAATACAGTTTTTGATCTTCATGGCTGACTTGCTAACTGTTGTGACTGAAAGATTTTATTGTGTTTATTTTAAAAAGATGGAGGCGGAGAGGCTAGGGCTATTGCTCTTGACATATCTATGGATTTCAATAAAGTTTGGCATGCTAGTTTCTCCATATGCTTGTTTCATAGAAACAAAGAGCTATTGCTCTTGACATACATAAAGCTTTTAAATAAGTTTGGTATGCTGGTCTTCTCCATAAGCTTGCTTTATATGTCTCTGAGAAAGTTTTTGTGATTATCAAATCATTACTTTCTGCTTTATCAAAATCATCCTCGAAGGTCTACACTCTTCTTCCTCTGCAGTAACTACTGGAGTACCTCAAGGTTCCATCTTTGGCCCTGTTTTGTTTCTTATCTACATTATAATCCTCTTTACAACCTTACATTTATATTGGCTCTATTCTCTGCTGAATTAACTTTATACTCTTTTCTTGAAAATCGGATATCACTTCTGTACAGATTGGGGCTTGCAGTGGCTTTGAATTTTAACTCCAATAAAACTATCGAAACTATCAACATTCATATATTGATGAATGGCAACCCTCTCACCAAGTCCTCATTCAACCCCTTTCATCAAGCTTATCATTCCACAGTAGGCCCAGAGGTGAAAATAAACAAAAAAATATTGGTTTGAAAAAGTCTATAAAAATTATTTATTCAGAAAGTCAGATAAATTAGTGGATTAAAAAAAAATAAGTTTCTAGCTAATTTTTAAGTGATGATATGCAATTTTTAAGTTGATGAATTTCCAATTTTTTGTTTATCTATAAAAGTTTAGTAAATTTTCCATTCAAAATGAACTTAACGACAGTGATTTAACGAAAATTGTTAAATCACTAATATAAAAGTTGTTTTTAATGATATAGATTAATATTTTTAATAAAATATATTATAAAAAATTTGTTATTTTTTTTAAACTATTTTTTTTTAAAGCTTTTAAAACTTAATTATGTAATTATAATATAAATGTATGTTGTAATTTTTTACAAAAAATCATATTAAATCTTAGATTTTTTCAAAAGCGTTAAGTTGCCTCTACTTTGTCATACATTTTTAAAACATTAAACATTTCTTCTTTTCAAATATTTTAGGAGAACTGAGGCAAGTTAGCACTTTTTGTTATTTACGTGATTAAAAAAAGGTGAACAGTGGTTATACTTTTTTTCTCAAAATATGTGAATATTTTTCTTTTTGGTTACAAATATGAAATTTTTTTATTTTCTATTGTTTATTTGATATGATTTTGAGTTTGTGTCAGCAGAAGTAAGGTAAAATAAAAAATAAATGTAATGGAGGAAAATAAAAATGTAAAATACATCACAGAAATAGATTTATTCACACAATTTATTAAAGCTGAAAAAACTGTCAGCTTTAATAAATTGTCAAATTCAGTAACATATTCACCCATTAAAGAAATACCTTATAAAAATTTTGTACTACCAGTTAATTCACTGGAGTTTAAAAATGTGTGTAAAAAAGATGGAAACATTATAAAACTCTAAAAGAGAAACATTTCAAAAAAAATAGATATGCATTTATACTTTCACAAGCATCAAAAGATATTATTTATGAAGTAGAGGATGCTTACATAACAGAACCGTTTTTTTCAAAACAAAGAAAATCTTTTACAGAACTGGGTGATAAGATAAAAAAAGAATGGACACAGGAACTTCTCAATTATATAAATAACTTTGTCACTAATGAGTGCCCAGAGTTGCATGTTAACCAGTTATTGGGTTACCTCTTATATAGAGTTAACATATGCCAGTAGACAGCGATGAGCATCAGATGTGTTTTAAATATGGTTGTAATTGAGTAGGGCAACAAGTATAGATAAAATCAAAAGAAATGATTGAAAGCAAGTCAAATAAGTTTCAATATGGTCTTATTCCTTTAAAACTAACATGCCATCGAGATTATTACGCCCAGTTTTTTTGATAAGAGAAACAGAAACTAATCAAGATTTGATAGATCTTATTGTCCCAACTACTGATGACGCAAGAGAAGAGTTAAATACTTAAGGAATGTGTCGTCTGTTTGGCAAAAATTATATCAATGCCAAAATTTTTATGTAAGATACAATAAAGGATTTAAAGTTTAAACAACTTTTCAGCGGACTAGGAGATAGTATACTTTGCAAAACAAAAACTACTGAATGGACAGATATTAGGAGAGTTAGTGAAGGACTTCTGATTTTGATCGATCATCAGAAGAAACTTGGATGCTGTACGAAAAGCTAGTTGAGAAGGATGGTATCATTCCTACTAAAACTGGAGATTTTGACACACAAAAAGGACTGACTAAAAAACCACAAATCAAATCTGATCAAAAAAGCATGTATTACACATCCATATATTAATAGCACTACCTGGTTTTTAAAACTACTTTATTGGTGTCATATAGATTATAAACTTTGGGTTAAAAAAACAGGATCACTTAGTGAACCAATACGTAATGCAAAAGACAGGGTTATTACTAAAATAAAAGAAAACACTGGACTGTGATTAGATATGTGTTGTAACTCTGGTGAGAAGGGAGAGACATTTACAACAGGGTCAAAAAGCCCTGATAGATTTTTTTATGAAGAACAAATTTCTACCATGAAAGATCTATGCTTTCCAATGTGCAAAGATAGCATCTTACTACTACATTCTCAAAGATGTTACTACTACATTCTCAAAGATGTTACTACTACATTCTCAAATCAGTATAATATTTCGCATAGTTTCTTGTAAGCATATAATTAATTTCAGAAGTTATGCAATAATGCTACATTTAACATTATTACAAATATGCTATTGGCACAAACTAACCACACTCTTCACGGTGTTAATATTTCTTAATGATGGTTACATTCTGGGCAATTTATTGGAGGAAGGTCTAGAAGCAAACAACAAAGATATTAGTAACTATTTAATACTTCTCGTAAGACATTGCATCTAGAACAACTTACTGGTGTGATGATGTCTTTAAGAGAGATTGAATCCTTATGTTTTAAACCAAATTATTCATTCCCAACCTCTATATTAACCTCTATATTAACTCATATACTCAATATATATCTCATAACTCAACCTCTATAACCTCTAAAGTTATGCCAAGATTGTGATTCAAATGAGCATACATGCAGATCTCATAAGCGAATGTTTTCATAACCAAAGAGATATTTTGATAATATGCTTGAAAACCTTATTTATGATTAATTATAAATTTATTAAAACTTTTTACTATTTTAACTTTTTATCGTCATATATATGTTACAAGTTCAAATAATTAGAACTTTTTCTTTATAATTTTATTATACTAACATTATTTTAAATCCAAATTTGACAAAATACTTGCTTTTAAATACTAAACTTCTTATCAATAGAACAGTAAAAACCAGACCCTCAAATTATTTAAATTTTTGAATTTTCTTTTCTTTAAGTATATCTAATAAATTACTTTTTTAATTGTTATCTGAAAAAAGATTCAACTATAAGAATTTATCAAAAAATGCTTATTTATCAAAAATGACCAAATATGGTAATTTAAACCCAGCCTACAAATTTAGTTTAATAATAAAAATTTTAATTTTTCTATAACAAACAAAAAAATATCTTTCTAAAAACTCCTCAATGAGTTTTCTAGGATTTCTTAATCATTAGTTATGATCTTATTTTCAAAACTTTGCCTTCTGGGCCCACTGTGCATTCACTACAAACCTCTCACGGAAACCATATATACAATCGATTGCTAAGTTAGCATCTGCTAAGGTTGCTTCTCATTATTGTACTTGCCATTTTCTTACTCCTGATTCCATTCTTTACCTTTACAAATTTCTTATTCATCCCTGCATGGAATGCTGTTGTTATATTCGAGCTGGTTCTCCTAATTAATGTTCTTCTAGATAAAGTTGAAAATGTATTGTAAACGTGGTTGGACTAAGTG